CTCCTTCCTGCCCCCAGCCCCAGGGCGTGAGAGATGGAAACTCTTCCTAGAACAATAGATGGGGGAGGCAAGTCATGGGAGACTGGGTATCCTCAGGAGGTTAAGAAATGGAGAATCATGTCCTTGGGTAATTCTAGGTGACAAAATAATTACTGTAACAATTTAGTTTTAGCCCATACTGAAGTGCTGAATTAAGCCTCAGAGGTCAACCCAGGGTCTGCAAGAAGGCTGGAGGCTGGAAACTGACCATGCCATCCCGCAAAATAATAAATCACTATTCTAGAGAATGAAGATAATTTTTTATGAGCTTACCTCCAGTTAGTTATTGTGGGAAATAACAAACAGAATGAGCGTGGAAGAGGTGGGGTAAGAGTGACTTTACAATCATGATATAGAAAGGAGCTGCATTGAAATTGGGCAGGCTGACTGAGCAGTGCTTCAGTTCAGATTAAATAAAGTGATGTGATGAAGAATGTGGGCTGGGTTCAAAGCTCTGCTCTGCCACTTACTAGCTGTGTGACCTTGAGAAGGTTGCTGAATTCCTGATGGGCAGGCTAACCTACCTGGCTAGACTGGGCTAACATCTGATGTCACCAGGTAAAGTGCCCAGTCCCACGACTATGGCAGAGCGTCATGCTCATGAAATGGTAGCTCTTACTGTTTACAGAGAAGATAAATGGTCTTCATTGCCTTTTAGAAATTAACAAGAAGTCTTCTCATATTTATAAGTGATTGTAGTCAGGGTTATCAATAAGATGTGGGTTGAATTATGCCATCAAATAGATAAGAGAATGTTATTTGGAAACCTTGAAGCATACCTGTGAAGGGAAGCAGCCGGGCAGGAATTCCGAAAATCCATCCATGGCACCGAGTGAAAGAGCACACCGCCCTTCCAGCCTGAAGGACATTCTTTGTGGGATGACAGGGGACCTGCCTGACATGTTGATAAGATCATCCAGGAGGCTGCAAGATCTAAAACATTGAACATGCTACCTGAGACCTGGCTTTTATCTCATATGTGCATCTCTTTTCGGATGGAAGAAAGCAGGTGCCCCTGGCTCTTGGACTCCGTGAAGCAAGAAATTTGGTTTCTGATGTTCGGGCAACCCTGGGAACCAAGTATTTAAAATTTTGGTTTCAGTTGTCGTTTGGGATCTGTTGGGTACAGAGCAGGACCAAGAAGCCCTGGGGGCTCTCAAGGGTCTCATTCAACAATACTCATTCACTGCACATTTAAATTTTTGAGCATTAAACAGCCTTCTGTAATAATCCATTGGGGAAGAAATTGATAAAAATCTGCATTCCTGCCAACGATTTGCATATTAATGGATCAGAACAAAATAGTTACTCATTTGCTCAAAGCTGTTGAATATACAAAGAACTATAAGTCCATGAGCCCGTACCACGGAGTTGTGCTCTCTGGAGAGTTCAAGCATGGATTGGTCTTTGGAGCTCAACACTGAGTGGCCTGGCTCTTCACTCTGCTCACGTGTGTATGCGGTGAGACTCCAGTGATCGTGTAACAAGCTCACAAGAATGTCCACACCTATAGGACTGTCCTCAGTGCAGTCACCCGGAAAGGCCGCCCAGCCACCTCCACATTTCAGGACTTAAAAGGACCTCAGAGGTCAACTAATTGGGTCTAAATGAGAGTCACATCTCTCTGCAGATGTCCTTTTTTGGGGAGGAGAATTATCCAAATCGTTAGAGGGTGAATTTAATTTTTGAATGAAACAAACTTTACTCCAAGCCAAGTCTACCGAATAAGATAAATGGTCAGAAGAGATAAATTCAAAAGAAGGCAGGGCCATAAAATGACAACACGAGTTTGCTCGAATGATCCACGTAGTGGTTCTGAGAAGTAATTCCAGAAGCACCTAGAGAACAGACGCCCTCAAACTGCTAGTGTGACCACAGCCTCTCTGAGGATGGAAAAGTAAGGTCTTTGTGCATGCTTTTGGTGCCGAAATTCAGCTTCTAGGAGTTTGTCAGAAGGAAATGATTGGATGGTACACAAAGATTTAACTGTTAGGAAGCTTGGTGTCATGTTAATAACGGCTTAAAAATTGAGAGTGGCCTGAAGGTCCAGCAGTAGGGGTTGGGTGTTTCTGTTGCTATGGAAAACTGCTCATGTTCTCTGAAAAGGGCAGATTATCCAACAGTGTTCAAAGACAATCCAGGGCACGGTATGTCCACGTGGAGAGGGGATAGGAGAGGATATGGAAAGGCAGACATCAGGTTGTGAATGGTGGGTGGGATTGTGAATATTTTCACTTTTTAATTTTGCTTGTCTACATATGATTGTTCTGTAATTAAAAACTATTTTTATAATAAACTGATCAAGTGAAACATCAGAGAGGGAGAAAGGGGTCCTAATATCCCTCAAGAGGAATTATGATGTACCTATATTAGTTTGTTAGACTTGCCATAACAAAGTGCTATAAACTGAGAGGCTTCGTCAACAGAAGTTATTGCCTCGCAATTCTGGAGGCTGAAAGTTCAAGGACCAGGCGTGGGCAGGGTTGGTTCGTTCTGAGATTGAGAGAGAGGGAATCTTTTTCCTGACTCTCCCCAGCTGCTGGCGGTTTGCTGGCAGCCTTTGGCGTTCCTTGGCTTCTGCCACATCACTCCAGTCTCTGCCTTCCTCTTCACATAGTGTTCTTGCTGTGTATGCATCTGTGTCCAAATTTCCCCCTTTTATAGGGATGTTGGTCATAGTAGATTGGAGCTCACCCTACCCTAGTATGACTTCATCTTAATTGATTACATCTGCAGTGACCCAATTTCCAAACAAGGCCCCATTCCGAGGTACTGGAGGGTTAGGGCTTCAACATATAAATTTGAGGAAGGACACAATTCAACCAATAATCGTGCCCCAATGAGATAGGCACAGTGCTCCTACCCAGCCGAAGTTAGTGCCTACCTGCCACTGCAACCTTTGCCAACTGCTATGTAGTATGAGGTTGGACCAAGATCAGGAGTAATGGGGTGGGGCACTGATATCCCTGAGGACCCCAGGTTCAAAGAGATAGATAATGGTGAAAACCGGGAACCTGAACATGGCCTCTCCCTGCCCCAGTGTGCCCCGGCCAGGGCTGAAGACTTGAGTGGGCATTCAGACCAGCACATCTGAACTAGGGAGACCAGTAGAGGCCTGAAAGGAAGGATAGTCTAAAGAAAAAGGAAAGGACACGTTGTTACTTTGGGTTGGATATAGGAATTGTGGTTTAAAAACAGAAAGACCAAGAGAGAAGGGAGAGAAAAATATTATGAATGTTACACAAAAATCTGCACACAGATATTTTATAGCAGCTTCATTCATCATCACCAAAAACTTGGAAGCAATTGAGATGTCCCTCAGTAGGTGATTTCCCTCAAATTGTGTTACATCCATCCAATGGACTATTATTCAGCAATTAAAAAGAGAGGAAGTATCAAACCATGAAAAGACATGGAAGAACCTTAAATGCACTTTGCTAAGTGAAAGAAGTCAATCTGAAAAGACTACGTACTGTATGATTCCAACTGTGTGACATTGTGGAAAAGGCAACTTAGAGACTGTTAACAAATCAGTGGTTGCCAGGGACCCCGGGGGAAAAGGCAGAGGGATGAACAGGCAGAATACAGGAAATCGCTAGGGCAGTGAAACCATTCTGTATGACAGTGTGGTGGTAGACAGATGACATTAAGCATTTGTCAAAAAACACAGAACGTACAGCACAAAGAGAGAACCCTAATGTCAATTGTGTGCTTTAGTTAATGATAATGTATCAATATTGGCTCATCACTTGTAACAACAGTGTTGTACTACTGCAGGATGTTAATAATAGGTGACACTGTGCTGGGTTGGGGGAGAGGTACGTGGGAACTCCGTACTCCCTCCTCCATTTTTCTGTAAATCTAAAACTGCTCTCAAAACATCAAGTCTATTAATTTAAAAACCAAAAATATATTATAAAGAATGTAAAAGGGATAATGCACTTAGTTAGCTACCCAAAAGAGGCCCTTGGCAGATAAAAGTCTGGGCAATTGCAAGAGTTAGCTCATTTTCAAAGGCAGTTGAGAAGATACAGATGACCAAAGGGTGACCCAGCAGGATCTCCAAGATTCAAACACCCCTGGCTGCTCACACCTATCTCAGACTCAACAAATCCCTTCTGATGGAGCTTAAAAGTGGTGGGGTGTGGGGGAGGGGAAGAAGAACCAAATTCTTATTCAAAGAAATAACAGTTTGGAACATGCACAAGAGTGTCAACAAGTTATGTAGATCTTATCAGCATCACATTTTTGGTGCCTCCCAGCTATCCAGTGAGGCTCCACCAGCCTGTCAACACCCTTCAGCGTCCCACGCATCTCGGGCATATCAACACCTTGGGAGGCTCTGCCATGGCCAGGCCTGCCTCCCCAGGGCTCCAGGAGGAGGGAGAAAATTCAGGAAACCATCACACCATCCCCTCGGTATGCACGAGCATCTTCATTTCTCTGCTCACATTCTGTGACTTGTTTGGGGCCCACTGTCTATAAAATTGAACAATTTCTTTATGCTAATTTTGGAAAGAGTACCCAAGCTGGAAAAGTCTGATGTTCTCACATCTGAAGAAAGAGAATGTGTAGTTTCAGTAAAGTGAGGAGAAATTATATATACAAAGTCCTCCTCAAAATATGTTACATTTATAGAAGTGTTTCTACATTTGCAGATAAAACATTGTGATTTTACAAAACTACGGATAAGGAATGAGGCATGAGACTTGTGGAGATTCCACTCTTTACCTCCCCCACCACACGCCAGAAATAAAGCTCTCATAGGACATGCCTTGCTCGTGATAATCCAGTCTTTCAAATGTAATATTGCTAAGTGATGCAACGAACCATTGATTTAGACTAATGAAAATGATAGTCTTTACTATATATCTCAGCTTTCTTTTACAATTGCCTGTTGATTACATTAAAGCCAGTGAATGGATCTCCTTGTTAGTTTGTGTGTTTGTTTTCATTTTTAGGCAGCTTTAAGTGCCTTGAAACAATTTTCTGAGCAAGGACTGGATCCAATGGAAGGGACAATGAGTATTGAAAAAAGTTCTCTTGAAAAGTGAGTAAATCTATCATATTCTTACATTTNCAATGAGTATTGAAAAAAGTTCTCTTGAAAAGTGAGTAAATCTGTCATATTCTTACATTTATAATTTTGTCATTGTATAAAAAATATAGATCATAAAAAGGTAAAAACTCAAGTCACTAATATCTGTATCTTACAAAATTATTCATAATACAATTAAATGTAAAACAATGAGAAACAGTATATATGGTCATATTCATTTCCTACAGTATGAACTGTGAAAGTTTTAACTTACTAATTGACTATTATTTCTACATTTTAATGCCTTTGTAGAAATATTTATGTGTCTTGTTGACTGTAGAGACTTGCAAAACTATCAAAAAATTGTGTTCACTTCACACTGTTGAACATTTTCCATCTAAAACATATTCTGAGTTAAAATTTTTAACTCACATTCCTGCTAAGTTGTGAGCACAACAGAGAGAAAATAAAAAGCCGTCAGAGGCGACTCTCCCTCCCCTCGACAGCATTTGCTTTCACACTGTTGTATGAAGCACAAGCACACATTGCCACAGAAGTGTGGCTCCCAGGGGCTTCCAAGGCAAAAATGCAGCCATAGTGAGTATTTCTGAAATCCAGCTCTGAGTTTTTTTTAATGATATTGAACATAAGGTCTTATCTGAGACTGAATTTTAGGTCTCTCCAGAGACCCAATTTATAGCAAAGAAATCGAACACAATTATATTTACATAGCGGAATCCAACCTGTTTCAGAGCAGCAATAACAGCAGGTGAGGTTTCAGAACACACAGGAGATAACGTTTTTAGAATGAAAAGAAAAAACAACAATAAAAAACCCAGGATGTAAAAAGCAGATACGCTGATCCTACAGTTAAGGAAGCATACCTCCAACCCAGCCTTTGGTCATTCATATTTAAAAGGTGAGAGCGTGAGAAGAAAACATTTGGTAAACAGACGTGGCATTTTAAGTTGTCTATAGATTGGCAAGCATTTATAAGCTAATTTAATCAAAACCATTTCCACATGATCTCATCAGGAGACTATCTGAACATAAATATTGTTGTTTCACTTTAAAATGTCACTTTGGTGGTGACCTTTGAGTCCCGTGTGCCATCTGCTAATAAACATGTCTGAAGATGTGCAACCCTGGCTTCAGCTCTTGTTAATGTATTAATCTTCCAGACAAGGCCAGCATCTGGGAGAGAAGGCGGACAATAACCAGACACACCCGGGCTCCATCGCTCAGGACTGCAAGAAATCAAAGCCCGTCATCTAACAGCTCCCAGAACCACGGCTGCCACCGCATCCTTATAAACCTGTCAGCGCGCATGGGGGTGTCTGTGTTCAAGGAAATGAATGACTAATACCATTATTTGAGTCTTATGTGAAGACAACGCTATTCTAACACGCGAGATAATATACATAGTCCTGTTTATCCAACTGGGGGAAAATAAAACTTCGTGCATTTCCCTTGGAACTTGAGATCAGATCATAACTCATTTGTCCAGAGGCAGCGGACATCTGATCCTGCTACCGGGGCTTAAAATAACAATGAGTGAAAAGTGTTAGAAACAGAGGTAACATTTTTTACATAATCAATAGAGAAACTGGGTCTGGTTCCGTTGTTCCGGTGGTTCTGTCGTGGCCCTTGTGTTCAGTTATATTCTCTCTCGTTTTAAATAATGCTTGACGATTCAAAAATTTCCCGATGACGTGCTGTGGAATGTGATGGTCGTTGTCTTCATATAGAGTCACACAGTTTCCCTTTTTAATGCAGATATTTGGAATCTTCATCCCATATCAGTATGAATAACTTTAAGGCACACACACTACTCAAAGATGTATGCGAACAAACATGGTTTAAATCAGGTCGGGTATTTAATTAAAACTCTGAAATCATGTTAGGATCAACTAGTTTCAGTATACTCCGGGAATTTAAAAACCAGATCACTTGTGGGTTTTGAGCTCCGTAATACTCTCAACCACCAGGGAGGCGTCTTGCCTCCACGAACCATTTCTCCGGTTCCACGTCCTGTGGCAGAAATCGCACCCACCCCCATTCGTGTCTTGTAGCCACTCACCGTTTGCATCAAGAGTGTTTTTGATAACTGCCTCTGGACTTGGGACAGTGAGGAAGATCAGCATAAACGATGTCCCTGGCGGGGAAGGGAGAGCCTGGTGGAGGAGCCGTCAGAGTCTGCCAGCTTGTAGCCAGCCACGCTCGGGACCAGCATGTTGGAATCCAGCGTGTAGCAAATGCAGTAAAAATTTGGTCGGTTTCTGTGTGAAGTGTGGTTACTGTCGTTCTTTCATTCCCTCGCTCTCATTTCCTAAGAATCACCCCAGTGAAACCCATGCCAGAGGCCACCACCCGGCCTAGTCATCCTGCTCAGCCGCGGCATTAGAGGGCGTCCCTGTCACCAGCCGCATGTCTCTGCGAAACTGCAGAGCCACCTCCCGGGTGACTCGGAGCCGGGTTCCCGACCAGCTCACGTCATCTCATTGTTCGGGCTTTCTCCTTATTGATTTGCAGGCGTTGTGAAATGAGAACACACTCTACGATCTAACTGCTCAACCCAACATGACAATAGGAATATAATTATGTAAGATTTCACAAGCAAAACCACCACAAATCATGATCCGGCTGACTCACACGCGACAGAAAAATAAACAAACAGCAACATAAGGAAATAACTCCGGGCTTGTTTTTAATGATTCCCATGTGGGGAGGGCTGGTGCCCTTGGAGGAAATAGGTTTGGTTACATAAAGCTGGGGCCTTGTGGAAATAACACCACATTTGTAAAGTTGGGGTTCACAAAGGTAAGCCAGGTTGAACAGGAAGCCCTGGTGCCTAGCACAAGGGTGCAGGGGGCTCTAAGTCATTCTCTTGGGGGTCAGGCCCTTTCCTCTGCTGGGCCGTGCATGGTGNGTTGGGGTTCACAAAGGTAAGCCAGGTTGAACAGGAAGCCCTGGTGCCTAGCACAAGGGTGCAGGGGGCTCTAAGTCATTCTCTTGGGGGGGCAGGCCCTTTCCTCTGCTGGGCCGTGCGGGGTGGGGGGTGGAGACAGGCCTGTAGAAAGCACCACTTCAGGCGGGGTCATTAAAGTAGATCTTCAGTTTACCAAAAGCAATAAACATAGACCACCTCCCACAGCCCACAGCCCAAACAACACCAGCATGGCCCAACAGGGCTGTGGCAGACCGGAGCACAGGGAACAAACAGAGCTAATCAGTTCTCACAACCCAAGGATCCAAAGCATCTAACTCTTGAGCTATGTGACCCTGGACACAGTGGGGGTGGGGAATGTCAATTTGCAGAGGATCTGGAGTTTAGGGACAGGATATTTAGTCCAAATTCCAGAGCATCTACCTGCCTGAAAGAGCGCAGGAAGGCCTTCCCATATTTCCCCAGAAACGCAGCCCTTCCTGGAGCCCCCAGGGTTCTCTTGGGGTTGAATTAGCAATGCAAACGACGGGTGGCCCGCAGCCCCTCCCAGGGACCTGCTGGGATGCTCTGCTCCGAAGCTCCATGTTATATATCATTACAGGGGAAACCATTAAGTAGATTTATTGAAAGAATGTTTCTTCGGCACAGGGAGATCTTTTTGATGAAAAATGGGGCTCATTATTCTTTAAAGGACACAGATTGACTTATCTCCTTTATCAATTACAGCGTCTGCTTTCAGCTTTTCTCCATCAGCACTGGGCTTTGTAGTCCCTTCCCAGGGCTGCGGCCAATGTGTTTGAAGAAAAAGGTTTGTTTTTTACGTTTTAATTGGAAATATAATATTGCACTTTGGAACTCTGACCATGCTTTTCCAGGACAACTTGCCAAAGATCAATGGTAAGACAGCGCCGATCAGGCTGTGACAAGGACATCCCTCCCCTTTCCTGGGGTGACCTCTCTGAGCTGTCCTGGTCCTCTCCCCAGCTAACACTCTCAACAGTGGGTTTTTGTGTTGTTGGGTGTGTTTTTTTTGACAGCTTCAACCAATTTCTTGCACCATAAAATAAAAATAGATTAATGAGAAACTAAAATTATTATACAGAGGTTTTCAGGATTCCTAGTGACCTTGAAAATGGGGTCTAGACCCATTGGTATGTATTTAAATTCTACTGCAGGTTATCACTGCACTTGCCCAGAGTGCGTCCGGTACCTGTTAATTTCCAAAAGCCAGTTGTTATCATATAGCCAAGAATGATACAGTTCACACAGAGCTGAGAAGTCACTAATGGCAAAATCATATGTGAATTTGTCTTTTTGAGTTTCCCCTAACCTACCCCACCATGATATAGGCACCTGATACATGTGTAAGTGATACATTGAATAAATGGACAAATGAACTGTCCATCAAAGGGATGGATAAACCCGCGGAAGGCATACATTTTAAACCTCACTGCTTACATGACACTGAGATAGCCACTCATGATAAAAACGGCTTTACTCTTGTACCTTTAACCCCAAGGGGACTGTGGCATTTCTTAATCAAAAATATGGCACCCCCCCCCAAAAAAAACCCCTAATTTTAGAGTACTCTGGGCCCATGCAGGCCCACTATCCTGCTCCCCCACTCTGTCTTCCCATTCCTGCATTTATATCCCTTCCCTAGGCAGCAGATTGAATTCCAATCCCCACCTCCGGGTACATTCCTGTATTTCCACAATCACAGATGGATGTCTTCATGAGGAGGGATAAGATCGAGTTGAAAGCAAAAACTTCCTTGGACTCAGTCAAACCCAACTGTCAATTTCTGGCAGACACCACCCGGTTCCATCTCACCTTGCCAGGGCTCATTTAAAACCTACCTCGTTGGGGAAGCCTTCCTCTTACGTCCTAACCTCTTCACTAAAAGCTCGCTCTCGACTGAATGCTCAGCACACTCTGATGTATGCTGGGAATGCAGAAAATAAATAAACAAATGAAACAACTTCACCCTAAAGAGCCCACATTGTAGCTAGAGGGAAAGGCACACAAGGAAATGGGCGGAGAACGGAGCATTCTGAGCTCAGAACCACCGCATGGCTTGCTCAGCTGCCTGCCTCTGTTGTCACCATTCGTGCCCTCACTCATCTTACAATGCTTTGGGCATCACGCTCTATTCTGGTGATGCTGTCAAGAAGCCACCCTCTGCTTCCACTCTAGTAGTATATCTTATCTTGACTCCAAACCCCCCAAATGTCCACTGATCGGCCCCCACACCCAGCCCCAGTATACACAGGTAAAGCTTACCTACAATCAGGTGCTGATCATGTAAATTTATTCCTCACTGTGTCTCCTGGCCTAGGAACAGTGCCCACTTTAAAGTGGTAAGTACTCAATAAATGTTTGTTGGATAGATGAATGACTCTAAAAACCCCGTGATGATGGACTTGCCAATCTAACCAGGTCAGTGGTGACCTGGGTGCATGGATGGAGAAGCCTGGCCTATTGGATGGAATCACCTGTCTGGAAATAAACTTATAGTTCTACTTCTGTTCAGGTGTAGCTTTGTTGAAGTCATATAACATCTTCAAATTTCAGCTTTTCAGCCCAAAATAGTAAAGATAAGAATATGCATGCCCTGGCCGGTGAGGCTCAGTTGGTTGGAGCGTCATCTCATACAGGGAAAGGTTGTGGGTTCGCTTCCCAGTCAGAGCACATACCTAGGTTGTGGGTTCAATTCCCCCAGTAGGGGCTCATACCTAAGGCAGCCAATTGATGTTTCCCAAAACAATGTTCTCTCTCTCTCACACTCTCTTATCCACCCCGTCTCTTAAAAAAATCAATGAATATGTCTCCTCCAGTGAGAATAAAAGAATATGCAAAAGTATATGGTCTATTTTTTAAAGTTGTGTACAAGTTGTGAAAGTAAATACAATATTATAACCTAAGGTAGTGGGTATTAAGGAAAGAGCCATGGTTTAGGATTCAAGAGTCTAGAGACCTGATTCAGATACAGATATGACCTTGGCAGGAGATTTAGTCTTCCTAGCCTCAGTTTCCATATCTATAAAATGACCTCTAAGAGCACTGCAGCTCCAAATTTATTGTATTACCATTAGTACCTCTATTACTAGTGGTATGCCTGTGTTCAAATTTTGTCTCTAATATGCTAATTTAAAAAAATCATATACCTGCAAGGAAAAATACCACTCATATCAATTAGGATTTTTGTGGTTGAGAGTTATAAAAACCCATTCAAACCAGCAATGGGAAATTTCTTATAAAGCTACAAGGGTGTTTCCCAGAACCCAAGGGCAGAAATGCACTGGAGCCAGGAAGTACAAGGCTGTGGGGAAACCAGGAAGCGCCCTCTCTGCTTTACTCTCAGTTCCCCTCCTCCCTCTGAATAGGTGAATCATTTCTTTCCGCACCAGCTCCTGCTTCACAAGTACACACATCAGAGGACATGGCTACCAACAGAACCCAAGTTTATGGCCACCTGAAGAAACACTGAATCTCTCTCTTGATTTCATTCCCAAGGTCGTAGAAAGGAACCCCTGACTGGCCACCTTGGATCAGGGGCCTACACTGTACAAATATGGGGGCCCCAACTCCACCCCTATGGAATAGGGCAGAGTAGTCACCAGAGAAGAGAGAACCATTGTTTTGGAAGACGACCCAATAACTATCTGCCTCAACTACTTCCCAGGGGCAAAGCTCATTATAGTCACGAGCTAGTTCATACTTTCGGTGTAAACAATGGAGCTTAACATAAGGAATAACAGTTTCCCAAATATCACAGGGTGGTCTCAGGTTTATGACGGCTGTACCGTTTGGTTGGGTTTTGTTTAATCCTTTTAGTCTTCCGTTTCAAGGGTCTGATTAACCACTGAGCTATTCTGAATGAGTCATAAAACTACCTGCAAGAAAAAGAAACACTTTCAAAATCAGTATGTTGTTCAAAGCCTAAATAATGAGAGCTTTAAGCCGCGCCGTGGCCATCCATCCTCACCGATGCCTATGGAACCAGACCGAAGGCCACTTCCCTGCGTTGTTTGTCCTGAGTAGGTATCAAGAGTAAGGACGTTTCTAGCTTTTACAACGGAGATAGGTAGAGATGGAGGCAACCTTGGTCTAATTTTCTTTCAAACGTTACTCCTGAGTTTTCAAGGGAGCCCAAAGAAAAGAGGAGACTTGGTTATTTAAGTGGGTAGGAGGGGGCGGACAATAGAAAGAATCTGAAATTTGGATTCAAAAGTGAAGTGGAAAGAGGGAGTGGGACGCTGGGAGGAAGTCCTCTTCCCGGCAGGTACGTCTGAAAACTGTAAACGAGCTGTCGCAATCCTGTGTTTCCTCTCCAGCCTC